AGACTCCGAACTCTAACGCCATCACTTCCTCCGCACTCTGTTGGCCATGGCAGATCAGGAGGGCAGCCCAGGGATCAGGAAATAGACTCTACCTCTGGATGGAGAAGCCACAATCTTATTACAGAGGGACCAGACAGAGGGAAGAGAAGAATTGGGACATTTTAATAATCAGGCTGTCACAGATCAGGGGCAAGTTATCTGAGTTCTTCAAGTAATCCCTGCCTTGCCCATCCCTAGAGAAGGAAATGGCAACCCACTGCTGTAGTCTTGCCTGGAAGGTCTCATGGACAGAGGAGCCTGGCGGGCTGCAGTCCATAGGGTCGCAAAGAGTCGGACACGACTGAGCGACTGAGCGTGGCTTCCCGGTGATCCACAGATGGTTGTTCAGCCCAGGGAAGGAACGTAGTGAACACGCTTTTAACTCACATTCAATGCCGCTGTCCAAGTGAAGTTAACCAAGGTGTGGTGTAGGGTATAGAACCAAAGAATCTTAACCATTTCTGTGTGAATGCAGGCAGTTTCAGCTGGTGCTGGGAGATTCCTGTTTCTAAAATCGAGAAACACCCCAGTTAGTTCTGGGTTTTGGAGCTGGCCATCACACCAGGCCACTCCCAGTCATCGAAACCCAAGGCCAGGACAGAGGCTGGGTTTCCAATGCTGCTGCCCCCAGTAGATGTCACAGCACACTTTAGGACCAGCCATCACTTCTCCCAGGTAGTAAACCGGCCTTTTCCTTGTCTTGTGAAGGGGGAAAAAAAAAGTATTATCTTTCTACCAAATGTTATCACCAGGTAGCTAGGTTTCTTAGGAGGTAAGATTTTTCCAACTCCACCATTCTCTCAGTTCCGTGTTTTTTTTTTTCATAATATGCCTGGTGATGGTAATGAGAAATCAGCGCAGGCATTCTCTCAGTAACAGTTGCTTAGAGACTTCAGTCATGTCCAAGTGTTTGCGACCCCATGGACTGTAGCCTGCCAGGCTCTTCTGTCCATGGAATTCTCCAGGCAAGAATACTGGAGTGGGTTGCCACGCCCTCCTCCAGAGGATCTTCCCAACCCAGGGATCAAGCCTGTGTCTCCTGAATTACAGGCAGATTCTTTACCTGTACCACCTGAACCACCCAGGAAGCCCCAAGTAACAGTTTCCCTCACTATGAATGCCAAGAGGACACCGAGGCTGAACAGCCTCCCGACTAAATGCCTTCCCAATTCTGGATGGCAGGAACTGTCCCTCAGAAAGCCACATGGACTCACAGAGACGTTCAGATGACTCACTTAGTCTTTTTCTCTCTGTGTTTCTGAGCCTTCTTCATCTGGGACAGCCCCTTCTCGGGCACTTGGCTCCCTGTCAGTAACCCTGGGCAACAGTATGGTTGTTCGTGGCATAAGGAGAAGCAGTTCCTGGGGTGACCAGGACACAGACCTTCCAGAAATCAAATCCAAGGCAAGACACATGTCAAGCAGCCTTTTGCACGTTGCAGTCTGCCAAGCGCCACTCCAAACATCAAGTAACCTCGAATTGGATGCTTTCAATTATACACTAATTAACAAGAAGAGGACGGTGTTTTGTTTTCACCTCAGACTGTGCTGGAGAGATCCAGGCAAATTAGCCCCCCAACTGCTGGAATTTCCCAGGACTGTGTAGCCTTGTTGTGAGTGAGGCCCCGCAGCAGTGGGAAGGACAGAGGCCCGGGCTCCAGGGGGCCGGAGGAAGAGCCTCAGGGCGGCCATGCCTCCCCAGGGTGGGAAGGGGCCCCGAGCAGGGGTCATGGCCCCTGACCCTGCAGCACAGACGCCCTCACAGCACCCGCCGCTGCTTGGGAGCTGTGGTCGAGTCTTCCTAAAAGCTGCCTTCATCTTAAACCCGCTTAAAGGCTAAAGGGAAACAAATCCTCCTTGAAACCTGAGTCTGTTTTAAGATGTCTTTACTAAAATCCCCGCTGAACTATTAGCTGCTGTGTCATATAATTTCCTTTTCCTGAGAGTAACATTCTTGGTGATTACCGCTACAAGGAATTATAAGGCTCGCCCTGTAAGAAGGTCTGCGCAGTTTCCCACGGTGATAATGTGTTACTAAGGCGATTTTCTGAATTTCTACCTGAGGTGATTTTTTTCATTTTGCTCCCAACTACTAAAGCCTTCCCTTTTTTTTTTTTAATTTGCCTTTCCTGAGTTAGAAACGCTGTGTGGGATGGTTGATTTAGGTCTAAGGGCCTTAGCACAAAGGTCAGTTTGGGGGCAAAACATCAGAATTTATGATCAAGCTTTCTTCAGAATGAAATGTATTTCTTTGGATGTTTTAAACTTTATTTTGCAATGGTATTGTCAGTGATTTTGTGTGTTTATAATCTGTTTATGTAGTATCATCTTCTCTTCGAGACTTTATTCGATAAATAGGAAACACTATATAGTTCTAGATTCAAATTAGGTTTAATTTGAAATGTCTTTATTTTAAGATATTACTTTAAAATATGTCTGTTTTTAATTTGCACTTTTATTTCCCACTATTGTCCAATCCATGGATTCTTGAGTTTTATTGTTAAAAATGGTTGACTTTTTTTTTTATTTTTTACCAACTACAAACAATGAATTTTTAAAGCTTAATTTATATGGGATCAAAGGGTAACCTGAACATATTAGATTACTCCAGAAAAGAATATTCTATTGGAAGAAAATTAAAAGGAGACAAGCTCCATCTCAATAAATTTTCAAGCTGCCTAACGTTCAAGTCAGCTCAGGATGTCTCAGAGAGTCAGTTGTGCATCAGGAATTGTTGTGACAGGCCAGGTGTTCAAGTACGTGACTTCAAGGGTCTCTTTACAAAGTTGCATCACCTTTAAAATCCTGTGTTCCTTTGTGTAGGCTTTCAGAAAGTAGGGAGGAGGATAATGAACGCTTACAAAGCACCTGTCCTGTGCCAGCCCTGAGCTAAATCCTCTCATCTTTCTTCCTTGTTATGTCGCTCACTTCAGTTCAGTCGCTCAGTCGTGTCCGACTCTTTGCGATCCCATGAACTGCAGTACGCCAGGCCTCCCTGTCCATCACCAACTCCTGGAGCTTACTCAGACTCACGTCCATTGAGTCGGTGGTGCCTTTGAACCATCTCATCCTCTGTCGTCCCCTTCTCCTCCCGCCTTCAATCTCTCTGTTTCTCAGTCACGTCCAACCCTGTGCGATCCCATGGACGACCGCAGGCCAGGGTTCCCTGTGCTTCACTGTCTCTCGGAGTTTGTTCATTGAGTCTGTTGAATCCACTGAGTCCACTAATGCATGTCCATTTGAGTTGGTGATGCCATCCAACCATCTCATCCTCTGTCGTCCCCTTCTCCTCGTGCCTTCGATCTTTCCCAGCATCATGGTCTTTTCCGATGAGTCAGCCCTTTGCATCAGGTGGCCATAGTATTGAAGCTTCCTTCTTACTGAATTATACACCCTGTTTTACAGATTGAGTATTATGCTTAGGGAATGAAGTGAGAATTCAAACCTAAGTCCTGCTGATTCCAAGCACCCTCAGCTGATCACAGAAGAACCTGCCACCTTCTGCGGCCAGCCCTGGGCCTGACTCTGCTTGCCTGCACGGGAGGGTGGGGAGCAACAGAATTGGACCTACTGAGAGAAAGGCTGCATTTCCTTCCTGGGGAAATAAGTTGGGACTCTCAGTAATCACAGAAGTTAACAACAGGTGGCAGTACATACACGTAACAGAGGTGCCTGTGTTAAATCAGTACTTTTTCTGATTTCTGTATTGTTTTCAATCAAACAAGTGCTTTCAGTGAGTCATCTGAGCATTTTGTACAAAGCATCCCTACCCACTGGAATTTTTTTTAAATGCAAATGTCATCTATCAGACGAGTTGATCTTTGCGTCTCTCACTGTGACAGTAATGCCAGAGCAGATTCGGCATCCACTGTTCTAAACCTGGCTTGCACAAGCCTCCTTAGGACCCTTGCTGCTTAAGTGGTTTCCTTCTGCTTTTTCTTTCTCAAAGCTTACATACAGACTGGAGATACTAGGGATGCTAAGAAAGTGCTTCTTGAAAAACTTATTGTTGTCAAACAGTCATGAAACGTGTTCACCTTTCAATGAGCATGAGAACACAGAGTTGGATCCTCAGCCTGGCTGTGTGTGTGGCAGATACACAGCCTGGCGGCCCTTTGTGACCACATTTCCAGGAGCATCCCTCCTGGAGCTTCCCGGATTTGCGACAAACATAATGAACTCCCAAGACATCTCTGCCTCTGAGGCTCGGCGCGCCAGGCGGTCTGCAGAGCCTTGCTGTGTTCCAGCGTTGTGCCTTTATAACTAGGTTGGAAGTTCCCTTCAGTTTCTCCAGGGTGAACCTCTGGTGTGTTGTTTTTTTTTTTTCCTTAATGACATAAATGAGCTCCCTCTGTTGGCTTTTGGCAACTGCCTCAAATAAAATTTTCCTAACACCGAATCAGCTCTGACTTATCACAGTGAGAGATGCAAAGATCAACTCATCTGATAGGTGACCTTTTTCTATTTGAGGCAAAAAAAAAAAAGGAGTCTTTTTTTCTGAGACCTCTGGCCCCAGGATGCTGGCTTTAATGAGCATCTTTGGATTGTCCCCGTGGGGCAGGACATTCGATGACACCAGGCAGCCCTGCTTGGCTGAGGATCCATTCATCTTCATTGACAAAAATGTAAACTCAGTGTCTCAACACATTTTTATCGTGTCCCAACTATGTGTTTGGTATTGTGCCAGGTGCTTATAATGGGGCTTGAAATTAGTTTTCCAACAACATGAATTCCTGTGTGGAAAAAAAGCTACTACAGTAAAAGTTACCACCTTACTGTTTATCAATGTATCTTTCTTATCCTCTAGTAAAAGTTACCATTTATGAATTGGGCATAATATTGATCACTCACTGCTCCCTGTGAAGGACACATTAAACTACTTTCTCTAGCAAAACCACTGTTCTTGGATGCCGCTGGGTAGCAGAGCTGCGTGGAATGAGTGTTCTGTGTGCTTCTGCGCAGCCTGCAGAGTGGGATGAACCTGCAGATTTGCTTTGTCAACGACAGCGGCAGTGATAAAGACAGCGATGCTGACGACAGCAAGACGGAAACCAGCCTGGACACCCCCCTGTCTCCCATGGTGAGTCTCCGAGCTGCCACTGAAGCTCAGAGTGTGCTTTCCTGCTCACTTAGCTTCTTTTCTGTCGTTGATCAGGAACAAACATTGCAGAGATTTGGAAAGAGATGTCTCATGACATTTCTTAACATGTCAAGTGTGGAAGTCACTCAGTCGTGTCCGACTCTTTGCGACCCCATGGGCTGTAGCCCACCAGGCTCCGCTGTCCGTGGGATTCTCCAGGCGAGAATACAGCAGTGGGTTGCCATTCCCTTCTCCAGGGGATCTTCCTGTCTCCTACACTGCAGGAGTTTCTTTATTGCCTGGGCCACCGGGGAAGCCCTTCTTCTTAACGTGACATGTTCCTAAAATTTGAGTGGTTGAAAACTTGAAACTGTGATCTGAGGATACATAGTTCTGTTAAAGTTAGCAACTACTTTCATATTAAATCATCAGGAAAATCACATAGGCCCTAAAAATTATAAAAGAAAATATGCTATAAAAAGGAATGAAATGGTGGCTTTTGCAGAGACATAGATGGGCCTAGAGACTGTCATAAGACTGAAGTAGTCAGAAAAAGAAAAACAAATATCATATATTATTGACACATATATGTGGAATCTAGAAAAATGGTGTAGATTGTCTTATTGCAACACAGAAATAGAGACACAGGTGTAGGGAACATCTGGATGCTGGAGGAGAAAGGAGAAAGAGGGGGTGATGAATTGGGAGATTGGGGTTGATATATATATATACACTACTAGGTGTAAAGTAGATAACTGATGAGAACCTACTCTATAGCACAAGGAACTCTTCTCAGAGCCCTATGGTGACCTAAATGGAAAGGGAATCCAAAAAAGAGGGGATATATGTAAACATACAGCTGATTCCCTTTGCCATAAGGCAGAAACTAACACAATATTGTAAAGCAACTATATGCCAATAAAAATTAATTTAGAAAAAAGAATTGCATGCAGTAAATAAAAAAATAGAAAATGTTCTATATACCATTCCTTCCCCATTGGTCTTAGAAATATGAGCATAGACTAGCAGTGGACACATTTTAAAAGACAGGGGATGGGGTCCTGGCAGGGGGTGGGAGGGCTAGCCCTGAAAAGATACCGCTCAGAGAAACTAGCAAGATAATGTGGGTTAAGCTTTGCTTACTTTTCCTTGTGGGGTTTCCCTGGTGGCTCAGTGGTAAAGAGTCCACTTGCCAAGCTGGAGACAAAGGTCAGATGTCTGGGTCGGGAAGATCCCCTGGAGAAGGAAATGGCAACCCACTCCAGTATTCTTGCCCATGGATGGAGAAGACTGGTGGGCTGCAGCCCATGGTGTCACGACAAGTGGGACTCGACTTAGCAACTAAACAACACTTTTCCTTGCACACATATATAAAAGATGGCTTGATGATCCTGAGTGCTGAATTTCTTTCCTCTGTGGGAGGTCTATCCAGCACCTTTCTCATCGAAGACCAACTAACAGGAAACTGCGTTAGTTGTTGAGCACAGTGCCACATGAGAACTTCTTTGGATAGCTGAGATCCTGTCCACTCAGGGAGTAACATACCACCTTGGCTCTGGGTGAAATATTTTGCTGTAGTCTGTTCACTTCAAGCAAGTTTTGAGAGTAAGAATCAAAGAAAAGTCTCAAGTTTGTTATAAATATATATTCTCCCTATTATTAATTATGTTACTTTTTATGCTAAAATCAGCCTTTTATTGAGACTGAGGAGATAAACTACCTTTGAAAATGTTACTTACTAAAAAAGAGAAGTATGTGTGTGTGTGTATATATATATACACACACACATATAACTGATTCACTTTGCTCGATGGCAAAAACTAACCCAACATTGTAAAGGAACTGTGTGCCAATAAAAATTAATTAAAAAGTTAAAAAAGAATTCTATTGAAATACAATTATTAAATATAAAGCAGCAAATAAATAAATGCAAAAAATAATATGCAAAGAACTTAGAACAATGCTAGCACATTGTTTCCATTAAATGCTGTGTGCTAAATTGCTTCAGTCACATCCGACTCTTTCTGACCCCCTGGGCTGTAGCCCCCCAGGCCCCTCTGTCCATGGGATTCTCCAGGCAAGAATACCTGGAGGGGGTGGCCATGCCCTCCTCCAGGGGAATGCTCTGACCCATTAAGTGCTAATGGTAAATAAATAATCATTCAATAAAAGTTATTTGTGATTGGTACAGATCAAATCAAGAGTTGGGTTGTGTTGATGGAGGGGACTCGGCCGCTCTGAGAGAGGGCTCAGGGAAAGCATTAGTCCATCTCCAAAGGTGGGAGCCGGCGCACAAAGCTCAGATGCTGCTTTTTTTCCCCTTGGCAGAGCAAACAGAGTTCTTCCTACTCAGACAGAGACACTACTGAAGAGGAATCCGAATCCCTGGATGACATGGATTTCCTCACAAGGCAAAAGAAACTGCAGGCCGAAGCCAAAATGGCCCTTGCCATGGCCAAACCAATGGCCAAAATGCAAGTGGAAGTGGAAAAACAGAACAGGAAAAAGTCTCCCGTCGCTGATCTCGTAAGCCGCGAGCGCTGAAATGCAGCTGACTGGGGGCTGGCGTGTGGTGGTTGACTGGCGAGTGGTGGCTGCACATGGTTGAGGCTGTCTCAGTCCTTTCCCAGAGTTATGCAAACTTGGGTTTCTCGAAGGCACTGTGTAAAACGTCATTGAGAAATATTTAAGTCTGTTTCTTTTTCCTTCCTACTGTATCACAGAAGGATGCATAAGCTACAGATTTCACAAACAAACTTTGCTCCCCATTCATATCTACTCTGTGTCTTCAGGGCAGTCTTAGCTGTTGTGAGAATATTTTCATTCCTTTAAAGCGGTCTCAGTTTAAGAACCCATTGCTGTGGCAAACTCACTATTGCTTTAACTCTTTGTTCCTACCTTTCAATGAAGACAGTGTGATAGAGTGGATAAAGGTCGTGGCCTTTGGAGCTTAAGATGAGCCCTGCCATTGATCTACTGTGGGGCTCTGGGCAAGTCTCAGTTTTCTCATCTGTAAAATGGGGATAATAATAACACCTGTGTCAGAGCATGATTGTGAGAATTCAGTGGAAAAAGTGTTCAAAGCACTTGGCACAGTGCTTGTAGCATGCTATAAATTAATAAGTAGTGGATCTTAGTAATTTAATCTATGTAACTGATAACTGCTTGAGCTCCCTGGTAATTCGTTTGTGGATCTAATCATTGACTGTCAGTTGTAGACCAGTCCAAAAACTTTTGATTTGAGTAATGTCCCGTTATGATGCTGATAACATGTGAGAATGTGTGGTGTGTGAATGGACGGCCTTGCATTGGAGAAGTCAGACAGGGAAAGCTTTTAAACGAGGACCCTGAAGTGGGTGAATGAAGGTGGGTCTTTTAGGAGAAAACTGGGTCCTGTATTCAATGTGCTTACTATTCTGCTCTCATCGCTGTTTCTTCCTTTTGTGTCTTCAGCTGCCACACATGCCTCATATAAGTGAATGCTTGATGAAAAGAAGTTTAAAGCCCACTGACCTGAGAGACATGACTATTGGGCAGCTACAAGTGATAGTCAATGATCTCCACTCCCAGATAGAAAGTAAGTGTAAGATACTCTGGAAGATGGGATATGAAGTGTTAAATATCATGGGATATCATGTTTCCTCGGGGTCCTCCTGTGTCCTTGCAAGGAAAGGAAGAGAATCGACCCTCTCTTTTTTCCTTTGTTTTTTCACTATAAAATGTTGAGAAACTTTAAGACTTTTTCAAGATTCACAGAGACTAAGGGTCCTTTTTATTCATCTGAAATCCCCAGCTTCTAGCACAGTGCCTGGCATATAGTTGGGTCGCAACACCTGTTTTAGAATACAATTTAGTAGTTCCAGGTCTTTTGTTATATTTATATATATTTGTATGTGTATTATATGTATACAATTATGTGCTCAGCTTTACTTGTATATATATTTATTTTAGCTCATCAGATCCTATTCACCTTATGTTGTGGGACTTCAGGTGGCAAAAGTGTATAGGACCAATAGGTGAAAATTATAGGGTGAGAAGGAGTGGGCCTTTTACCCCCAGAATAAAGAAGGACCTCTACCGGAAGTGTGCAGGCAGTTGTGGTGAGTGAATGGCATTCATTCAGCTGGTTGTGCAGAGAAGGGCATGTGCTGGGCCAGTAACAGAGAGAGCTCAATCACTGGGGCATCTTGCTGAATCCAGGTGAACTCACGAGCCCTCCAGCCTTGAAACATATGAGTCCATAAAGTCCATGGCTGATAGATTGAAACCACTTAAGAGACATGCCAACCCAATGCAAACCAACCATAAAAAAGTATTTGGGAACCAAGTAAGGAAATTCAAACATTGACTAAATGTTTTATTAAAGACATATTGACTTATTTGGGTACAATAAAGTCATTATGGTTATGTTAATTTAAAAGAAAAAAAGAGCCCTGTCTTTAGAGATGCATACTGAAGCATTTATGTATGAAACAATTGGATGTCTGAAATTCACTTTAAAATGACCTCACTGGAGAAGGGGAGAAACGTCAGTTACGACTGGCCAGGAGTTGATTATTTTTGAAGCTGATTGGATGCATAGGGCCAGGGGATTCGTTAAACAAGTCTCTTTGCTTTTGTATCACTTTGAAAATGTCCATAATAAAAAATTTTAAACTTCATATAGAAAAGACATTCCCATGCACTATGCCAGTATAGAAAGCTGCCCTAAGAACTCACTAGAAAAAAATAAAATGTGCAGTGGCAATTTAATACCTTCAATATTTTGCGGAGTCAGGGCAACCACACCAGGCAGCATGAGGGATCTTAGTTCCCCAACGAGGGATCAAACTCACACCCACAGCAGTGTAAGCACAGAGTCTTAACCTCTTAACCCAATACCTTCATTATTTTAAAATCAAAAGAAAGGATTTACATTTTAATTAGGAAACTATAGATTCATAAGATTTTTTTTTTTGAAGTTCTACATTTTGGGCTTTCCTGGTGGCTCAGATGGTAAAGCGTCTGTCTGCAATGCTGGAGACCTGGGTTCGATCCCTGGGTCCGGAAGATCCCCTGGAGCAGGAAATGGCAACCCACTCCAGTACTCTTGCCTGGAAAACCCCATGGAAAGAGGAGCCTGGTAGGCTACAATCCTTGGGGTCACAAACCATAGATTCATAGGATTTTTTTTTTTTTTAAGTTCTACTACATTTTAATTTTCGTTGAGAATAAATTACTAGGAGTATTTTTCTTTCAAGGATTTAAAAGGCTTTCTGATCTCTTACCATCAAAATATCTTCCTTAGACTTGTAAATAATAGCATTGCCAGCTAGTCCTTTTCAGGAGTAGAGGAAGTTTTAGATTTCTTTGTATGATTTTTTTTCTCTCCTTTTTAAAATTGGAAACAAATCTGAACTAAAGGCAGGCAAATGCATCATTTCAAATCTGAATCCAGCGTTTTCAAGGAGGACCTTGCTGAGTACCCTCTTCCTTTCTTTTGTTGCTGGGCTTAGAGCTCTTCCAAATGAACGCTCTCCCCGCGTGTCCACATGTTCAGACCTAGACGCTTTTGTTCTAAGTCAGTATGGGGGGAAAAGCATGAAGCAGCCCCCTGCTTGTTTATATCTTCCAATGGCAGAAGCCAGATTAACCCAGTGCACAGATTTTAGGAAGACTAGCCGTGTTTCCATCTATTTTATTCCCACTATAAATCCTAAGGAGTCTTTTCCTCAGCACCTGTTGTCTGAAGACCAGGGGTGATTTCTTCAGGTCTTTCGCATCTCCTTCTCCCACATCTTTAGATTTTACTTTCTTTGAACAGCCTGCATGTCGGGCTGCTCCTCCTCGTGGCCCCAGGTAACCTTTGAGCATCCTCGTGCCCCTCCCTCTCCAGCTGGGCGTCTGATGTGGTGCCTGTCAGGTGGGGCGGCCCCTCCAGCGCTCAGCATGGCTGGAGCCCCCTGAAGATGAACGGTGGAGAACTCAACATGCCCCAGACTTTTACACTCACATATCTTCAAAATAAAATCCTGCTTCTTCTAACCGGCTACTTTCCTAACAGCTAACCACTTCTTTTCCCACTTTAATGTGAATGTAATTGGATTTACTTCATACTCCTTTTCTTCCAATACTTCTGTAAGTAGGCAAACTAGTGCTCTCAAATGGGTGACTTCTCCTAAGCTTCTGAGAAGCTAATGAGAACCCTAACATTTCAGCAAAAATACTTTCCTACTGTGTTTAGCTGTTTGTATATATGTGTGTGTCTATATGGTACACACACCATGGTCCATAGATAGTTTCACATCCTGACTTTGATGCAGCTTTATTAATGCTCTCTTTCCTTTGCCCCAGGCTTGAACGAAGAGCTGGTCCAGCTGCTCCTTATCCGAGATGAGCTGCACACGGAACAGGACGCCATGCTGGTGGACATCGAGGACTTGACCAGGTCAGTGGGGCCTCACCCTTCCCAAAGAAGGAAAGTAGCCCGGGATCATCGGAAGCTTAAGAATTAAGGCAGGAGTGAGGTGGCGCTAGTGGTAAAGAACCTGCCTGCCAACACGGGAGATGAGGCTTCAATCCCTGGGTTGGGAAGATCCCCTGGAGAAGGAGATGGCAACCCACTCCAGTACTCTTGCCTGGAGAATCCCATGGACAGAGGAGCCTGGCGGGCTACAGTCCATGGGGTTTCAAAGAGTCGGACAGGACTGAGGGATTGACACACACACGGAGCTGTCGAGAATTTCTTCCTTTACTTTCATGAGTGACTCGCCTAATTTCTGCTGGTGTCAGCTATTTAGATGGAGGGAAGCAGTCCACGGGATCTCAAAGAATCGGACACAATTGAGTGACTGAGCGTGCATGCAGGTAGCCGAAACTTCTCCCACCCAAATGCTTTGCTTCTGCACAACCATCCTTCCCTCGTGATGGGTTGTCAGTGCATTGGAACACCCCCACCTCAATCTGGTCAGCAGTTCCGGCCTAAGAACTTTATCCTGAAGGACCATCCCCTGGGGAGCTGTCCCTAAACCCCTGCATGCGGGCATGCTCCCAGCACATGGTGGGTGTCCCCAGGTCACACTTGCTGTTATCTGACCCAACTCCTGATGCCATCTGCCATGCCCAGAAGGCAAGGACCCTGGCATCTTTCCACAGCACCATGCCACCAGATTGCTCTCACCATGGGGAGACTCCAAGACTTGGGTTTATAGCTGGGCCTGGCTCCAGGCCCCCTCTCTGTAAAGAAGTGAAGAATGCCTCCTTCCCTGGGCAATAGGGAAACTAGACTAATGCTTGTCAAGATCTTGCATTTCTGTGTCATTTTCTTTGTGGAAAAGCCTCTCATAATAAGTATGTGAAGTGCATGGAAAAGCTGTGAGCATTCCTACGGTCTTATGACACCTTTTCTGAGTCAGTTTATAGGAAATCTTTAAGCCACAAGGCAACAATTACTATTAATCCCGGAGATGGTATTCAGAGAGTAGAGGCTCCCGAAGAGAGAAAGAAAACTGCTTGTCACAACAACATAAGGAATTAACCATGTGATCCAGAACCATCCAAGGGAAGCTTGACAACATATGTAGTGACAATGCTCCCAGCACTCACCACAGGGACCTGTTCTCTGTGTGAGACACTGGGTTAAATATTTTCACAAATGCAATGTTATAAAAATAGCTCAGGTAGCAAAATAAAGGCTGCAGAACTATGTTTAAGTTTGTTTTTAAAGACCTGTGGGCAGCACTCTGTTTTGTATGCTTTGGATGTTATTGCCATTGCTCCTAACAAAAACAAAAACAAATAAAAAACCAGAAGGTCTTCTCATACCTTCTTAGCATGTTTGCCTACATCTGAAACATGGTACCATTCAAATATTGTTACTGCCCCCTACAGATATATTCAGGCACAGCACCAACAATTGTAAGACACCTCCCTTTGTTAGGCTAAGAACTTTGCATATAGGGGTTAAGATTATGGGAACTCAGGGGCTTCCCTTGGGGCCCACTGGTAAAGAAATCCACCTGCCAATTCAGGAGACAGGGGTTCAATCCCTGGTCCCGGAGCCTCGGGGCAGCTAAGCCCTTGAGCCGCAATTGCTGCAGACCAGTGCCCTAGAGCCCGCGCTCCGCAATAAGAGAGCCCACCACGATGAGAAGCCCGCACAAGGCAACTTGTGCTCCCCACAGCTAGAGAAAAGCCCGCGCGGTAACAAAAGACCCAGCGCAGCTGATACATAAACAAAATCATTTTTTTAAAAAAAGGTTATGGGAAATCAGTAGTGCACTGTACAAGGACATGCATCTTCTGGAAGAGATGTAAACTCTTCATCAACTCTGTGGCTCGCCAGTGGTAAGAGGACAGTTTCTCTGTCCCTCAGAGCAATGCTGTCACTCCTTGGTGCAGAGAAGACGTGCAGAGGCCCTCCCTTCCCTCCGAATGTTCAGCTGTGACTTAAGTCTGCAGTGTACTGTGTTTATGCTGCAGATGGTATGGTCGTGGGAGACGGGGCGGGCGGAACCATGGGGTTTAGAGGAGAGGAGTCACTTATTTAAAGGTGTTGGAGGAACCCTTGAAACAAGAGCAGGTGGGGAGTAGTTTCTATGTCCATTTCTGGCTGCAAAAATATAATCTTGCTCATTGCGGGGTGGGGGGGGGGGAATCTAAATATACTTCAGCTTCCCCAAAGGTGGCCAGAATGTGGCAGAGTGCCAGAATGTGGCAGCCGGATCCCAGAGACTGCGAGCACAGCTACAGGGAGCCCTCCTTGCCGGCTCGCTTTACCTGTCCAGCTCCTACCATCCAGGTGTCGGTTCAGGTCCATGGTTCCCAGTTTTGGTTGCTCATTAGAATCACCTGGGGAGCTTTTAAAATATTGATACCTGGGTCTCACTCCCAGAGGTTCTGATTTAACTGTTCGGTGAGACAGGGACTTCTGTGCATTAGAAGTTTTTTAAAGCTTTCCTGATGAGTCCAATACACGGCCTAATTCGAAAACCACAGGTTTAGATATGTCTTAGGAATAGCGCTCCCTGAACCCCCAAAATGGACCTAGGACCCTCTTTGAGCTTCTGGCGGCACGGCACTCCTCCCAAGTGGGGCCTGATCATATTGTGTTATATTTGTTTGCTGTCTCTCCCAGCCTGGCTGTGTTGTTCAGTTGCTATGTCATGCCCCACTCTTTGTGACTCCGTAAACCACAGCACACCAGGCGTCCCTGACCTCTACTATCTCCCAGAGCTTGCTTAGACTCATGTCCTTTGACTCTGTGATGCCATCCAACCATCTCATCCTCTGTCACCCCCTTGTCCTCCTGCCTTCAATCTTTCCCAGCATCAAGGTCTTTTCCAATGAGTCGGTTCTTCACATCAGGTGGCCAAAGTATTAAATCTTCAGCTTCAGACACAGTGCTTACTTTCATTCATTTCAGAGTCCTCAGAGCCTATGACGGGGGCTGCCAAGCACATAGGAAGCCCTCAAAAGTGATTGTTGATATAAAGGAGTTCTTGTGGGGCATGAGTGAAAATAATTCTACTAAAGACTTTGATATATAGTTGTTGAGAACCTTTTAGTTTTATAAACTGAAACTCTTTCCCTCATTTGTTTAAAATTTTAATGAAATTCACCCTTGTATGTGTGTTTCAAAAATAACACCCAACTTTCAGTGTTTTCTGAAGCTATTGCCTATCTGTTCTGTCCTTGTCTCTCAGAAAACCTCATGTTGTAGCTTTGCACACACACTCACACACAGAGAGATACCTATTTAAAGCTGCTATAAGAACCATAATTTAATTACCTACATGGAATCTTAGCCACTGGGTATCAAAATATTTCTTGAGCTGAATTTGTTCAAGTGAGGCCCATGAGCTACTTTATGAAAATAAGCAAGATTCTTCTACACACATTAAAAGATGATCTGCTCAAAGGCATGATTTTCCTTGGGGATGCAGTGCTATTGTTATCTTTTTTCCCTGAGCCCCTTTAGGGTTCAGTGAATATCAGAATATTATCTGTGGGCTGCTGCATGTGGCAAAGACACTGCTGTCCCTTTTCTGAAAATATTTGTGGTTTGTCTTCTCTGTGCCATAGATGTGAGACATTCTATATCATTAATGCAAGTGAGTTACACTTGATGTCATCAACTACACCCAAGTCAAGGCAGCGCACAGAAATTGCCCCCGAACCTTAGATCACAGCTGGAAACCACAGCATTAGATAACTTTTCTCTTGCCCAATTTATAATTTTCTAAGATCCTCCTTCAAAACGTTTGTTTCCGGCAGCCTTCAGACCCTACCACTCTCCCAGAAGACGTTTGATTAGTGCTTATTTGAGTGACATCAGCAGCTTGGCCATTCCCGTCTCTCCGCCTCCACTGTCAGCTGCTGGGTTGGCCCGCTTTTGGGCTCATAGGCCATGATAGGACTTGATGAGTAGGAAGGATTACCCAGCCCTGTCCCCACCCTCACTGACTCAATCATGCCCTTAGGACTAATTGAGGGGAGGAAGAGTATCAAATATGGGAAATTTTTGCATCCACCAAAGCCTATCACTTGTTCTAAAGACATTACTAGCCTTTGTAAGGATTGGATTATTGTATTATTAACAGGAGCCTTGTTAATACTTAAATTTGCATCTTTATGCATATTTAGATAAAGTAGTCATGCAGTTAACTTTCTGTCACAATAGCTTGTTCTGACTTTCTTGCTTAGCACTTATTTTCTGTCTGCTGTCTGCTTGTTTGCTGTCTGTTCCTTTCTTGTCTCTTTCCATTGAAATATATGCCCCAGGAGAACAGAGTTCATTGTCTGCTCGCCACCAAATCCCCATCACCAGAAGCAGTGTGCCTGGCTCAGAGAAGGCCATATTAAACATTTGCTAAATAAATTATCCTAGTTCATTTTTTTCCCTTTTCATTTTTAAACATAACACTTTTCTTCTCAAAGAAAAATGGCATCTACACGTCTCAGGCTAATCCAGTGACTTACTAGATAAAAGGAATCATACATAGAATATAAAAATTGAAGGGAATTCCCTGGCAGTGTAGTGATTAGGACCCCACCCGTTCACTGTTGAGGACACAGCTTCAGTCCCTGGTTGGACAACTAAGATCCATCACCGTCCATAGTTTGGGAGTTCCCTGGTGGTCCAGTGGTTAAGACCATGCTCCCAATCCAGGGGGGGCCCGGGTTCAATTCCTGGTCAGATCCTGCGTGCCAGGGAGCTTGGCCATGGGAAAAAAATCAAAAGAAGGCACCATCATTTCAATTAAGTACTGTTTTCTTTTTCTTTTTTTCTCTTCTTTTTGAATTAAGTACTGTTTCTTGATTCCCATGATTTAACTATGGAGGATGTTTTAGCTGCCAATGGAAAAGTAGTTTGGCTCTTCCTCCTCAGAGCTAAATAATTGTGTTATTCATTCCACAGACATGCCGAGAGTCAACAGAAGCACCTGGCCGAGAAAATGCCTGCAAAGTGAAAAGAAGCCATCCAACCAGAGGACAAGCTAGACTTTCTTTTGCTTCTGTGGTTGTAAAAATGCTGTTGCTAAAGGTGGCACAGAAACAAACAAATATCAGTGTTAGTCATTGATAATGTCTGAAGCTTAACGTCCAGTGATTGGCCTTTGCTTCTTAATTTATTTTAATTTTTTTACTGTGCCACTCAATATCAGGCATTTTAATAAAATATTATTACAAAAAAATGTATAGTACTTACACCACCACAAGTCATGGTTAATCAAAGAGGGTAGTTTTAACTTTATTTTTATTTGTTTAGAGATTATGAGTTGGAGCAGTATTTTACCATTGACTGCTGTCATTCTTCACTGTAGTTTTAAAGAAGAACTGTAAATGACGGTGCTATCCAAGTCAAAAAATACATGCCTGCCTCGTAGTGAAGTTGTAGCTCTCCGTAATATGTATATTTTAATCAGTTTTCAACATTTTGTGAATGTTGACTACCTGAAGTTCATTTTTAGATGTGCTATTAACATTCTGTTGGATTCAGAGGGTTCCTTAAAAGTTTTATGTATAAATATGTAAAATAAAGATTAAAACTTTGTTTCATAGGATATGTCTTTTTGCTCACTAGCAAGCCGTACGCTGGCTATATATGTCTGTCTTCACTCTTCCTCAGCTGAAATCCCCCACTGGGAAGCGTTTCTCGGTGAAAAACAAAGAGCTCCAGAGAACAGGCAATGCAGCGAATTGCCAGGAAGATTGTGGAGTGTTGGAAGCCTGTGTGTGAGTGTGTGTGTGTGGTCCAAAGAAGGCAATATCAACAACATCAGCACCAGCACGTTTGTTTCTGCTTAAAGTTATCAGTTGTAATTTCAACACTTGTGGCTCAACGGTAAAGAACCTGCCTGCCAGTACAGGAGATGTAAGAGATGTGGGTGTGATCTCTGGGTCAGGAAGATCCCCTGGAGGAGGAAATGGCAACCCACTCCAGTTCTTGCCTGGAGAATCCTATGGACAGAGGAGTCTCTTGGGCTGAAGTTCATGGGGTCGCAAAGACCCAGACACTCCTGAAGCGACTAACACATACACACGATTTAATACCTGCTGGGCTTGGCAGAGCCAGCGACTGCATCCAAGCCGCATTTGCCACATAAGCAAATGACACCTGCATTTACACTTTTCCCAAGGCTAACTGGTGCCATCTTTCACATTTCGATCACTTCTTTTGGTCACATGAAGAAAAATGCCAAGTCTGATGCAATTACAGAGAGTTCCTCAGTAGGTAGAAAGTTTCAGTGGCTCTGACAGTAAAGAATCTGCCCACAATGCAGGAGACCCAGGTTCGATCCCTGGGTTGGGAAGATCCCCTGGAGGAGGAGATGGCTACCCGCTCCAATATTCTTGCCTGGAGAATTTTATGGACAGAGGAGCCTGGTGGGCTGCAGTCCGTAGGGTCACAAACAGTCAGACACAGCTAAGCGACTAACACACTTCAGGGAATCAATGTCATCAGTGAATGCCCATGTAGGTATTAGAGAACCATAAACTAAAGCAGAGATGAGCAGTCAGCATTCCAGAACCACTCACAGACCACCTGTTTTCACTATAAGGTCCGTGATATAATCCAAAGATAGAAGGTTAATCCACTGTTTCCGTTTTCCTTTTTTAAAAATAAGTATCAAGTATTAAAGATAAGTATCAAGTAATTCAGAGTTATCAGGTTTCAGAACCTTTTTATTTTTTAAAATAGGCCGTCTTACATTGAAACACTCATCATTTCTTTATGGGCCTCAATCAGATTATTTTCATTTGGAATAAAAAAATAATGCAACCCATAATTTTGAACTGTGGTGTTGGAGAAGACTCTTGAAAGTCCCTTGGACTGCAAGGAGATCTAACCAGTCCATCCTAAAGGAGATCAGTCCTGAATATTCATTGGAAGGACTGATGCTGAAGCTGAAACTCCAATACTTTGGCCACCTCATGCTAAGAGTGACTCATTGGAAAAGACCCTGATGCTGGGAAAGATTGGGGGCAGGGGGAGAAAGGGATGACAGAGAATGAGATGGCTGGATGGCATCACCAACTCAATGGACATGAGTTTGAGTAAACTCTGGGAATTGATGATGGACAGGGAGGCCTGGTGTGCTGCGATTCATGGGGTTGCAAAGAGTCGGACATGACTGAGTGACTGAACTGAACTGAATTATATTTGGTTTTTGAGAGTTGACTGTTGAGTGGAGCAGGGTGCTCACCACGGGGCTGGCAGGTGGAGCCCCAAGTCCTCCCTTCGCCAAGGTCTCTAATGAGCCCCAAAGCCCTGCACTGGCTGTCTGCTCCCCTGAGGTGACCCCAGCCCTGAAACTCCAGGCCTAGATGCTGGAGCTTTGCTGCTCCAGCTGGGTGAGGATATTAGTCACTCAGCCAGTGGTTCTCATCTTCAGCAGCACAGTGGAGTCACTTGGGGAACTTCAGAAACCATGGGCTCCTGCATCCCACCTCCACAGACACTGATTTAATTGGCCCAGGATGTGGCGTGGGCATCAGGATTTATTCAAATTCCCTTTGTGACACTAATGTTAAGAACCATGGTCTTGAACTTCCTTCTTTTTTAGCTTTTCTTAAATCATTTTTAATATCGATTAAAGTATATTCATATTAATTTGGAACCCTGGGGGAAAGCCAACCAAGGATGAGTACCACAAAAATGCCTGAACCCAAGTGAGAGAGGTGCAGTGACCAAAACCTCCTACAGTGACATCAGCAACCTGAAATCCTGACACTAAAACTCAGCCCACCGAGAAAGACGATCTTCATTTTTTTAAAATCCTTGTCAGAATTGCCCTTTCCGATAAAAATTTAGAAGTGAGCGTTCTTTGTCTTAAGCAATGCAGTCTCTCTGGTTTGAAATACGTTCTGAAGAAATTCATGGCCTCGAAACCCTTCAGTTGTTTGAAGGCCATAATTAGAACTGAAGATCCCCTTACTCAAGAAGGAAGAGGGACTTGCCTGCTGGTCCAGTGACTTAAACTCTGTGCTCCCAATGCTGGGGGCCCAGGTTCAATCCCTGGTCAGAGAACTAGAACCTGGCACAGCTAAATAAACAAGTAAGTTTAAAAAAAAGAAGGAAGTGAGATTACACCCACAGGGGCCCTGCAAAACACTTCTGGGGGCAAAGCCAGCTGAAAGTCGAGCAGTTTCACCCACGACCTGAAGACCCTCCAAGGAAATTGTGCCTGTGTCCCTGTCACACCTCCCTACCCCTGGTAGGGATGTCACCAAGTGACTCACCTCCAAGAGGATTCTTTCAAAATTGAGTTTTTCCAGTCCTTTTGCTTTTTCAGCAAGGATTGGGATTATTCCCAAAAGGACTCTTATCTGCTCTAGGTTACCCCTCCATGCATTAGCTAGGCCCCTTACTAGTTTACCTGGCTTAGGCAGATGCTAGAATTCCTGACCTAAAAATTGGGCTGCCTCTCCTGCCAATTTTAAGAGAAAGAGGTGTAAGTGAGAATGCATGGATTCTGGGGCCAGAGGGAATGGGCACAAGGCTGACTCCACTGTCTTCCCAGTGATTAGACCTTAGGCAAGTCAGTAAAGCTCTATGTTGTCTTAGTTTACCTCCTGCACATAGGATCTCTTGGGTTTATTCTAAAGACTGAATAAAATAGTCGCCACAAAATAACTGGTACCCAGTGAGTGAGCACTTTGTCACTCAGTCATGTCTGACTCATTGCGACCCCTTGGACTGCAGCCCGTGAGGTGCCTCTGTCTGTGGGATTCTCCAGGCAAGAATACTAGAGTGGGTTGCCATTTCCTCCTCCAGGGGATCTTCCCAACCCAGGGATCAAATGTGTACCTCCTGGGCCTCCTGCATTAGCAGGAAGATTTCTTTATCACTGAGCCACCTGGGAAGCCCCTGGCACCCAGTAGATACCCAATAATTGTTGAAAGGAGAAGTAAATGATCACAATTTGGGTGTAGGAGGCATTCTGTATTTTACCAGTTTTGAGATTTAACACATCCTTGTAGGCTTTTTCCTTTTTCTTGTTTATTAATCATTCATTTATAAAACAGATGCTTAAAGAAGAAATTCACTTCAATCTTCCAGCACCTCCTCCCCCCTCCAAATATTGATGTTACAACTCCAAATGTACTCTTACACACCTTTCTCAGCACTTGTACAAATGGATGCACACATTTTGGTTTTGTTTTGATTTGTTATACAAAGGTGGGGTCACATACAGCTCAGTGCTTTGCAACCTGCTTTATCCTTGGACACCCATCCAAATCAGTACATACAGACCTAAGCTATTTTTAAAAGCTGTATGGTAATGCCCAGTGTGATGGAATATACTTTACTAGTCATTCCCTTTAATGATGGGCATTAAGGATCTTTCCAGATCTCCACCACTAAAAACAGTGATGCAATAAACATGATTGTAGTTATATCTCCTGCGCCTTAATTCTGTGATTACCTCCTTTTTTCTTTAACTATTGGTGTTTTGTTTCAATAGTTCATACTGTGTGCTGTGTGCTCATTCAATCATGCCTGGCTCTTGCGACCCCGTGGACGGTAGCCTGCCAGGCTCCTCCATCCATAGAGTTTTCCAGGCCAGAATACTGGAGTGGGTCACCATGCCCTCCTCCAGGGGATCTTCCTGACCCAGGGATCTCTACATCTCCTGCTTTGGGAGGCAGGTTCTTCACCACCTGGGAAGCCCACTTTAGAGCACAGAGAGCTAATTAAGGTGGGGAAGGCCAGGTGAGTCTATCATAGAGAAGTTCAATTTCTTAAAACAAAATTGGGCCACCCCCCACCCCTTATCTGACTAACATCAATTCATTTGTAGAATGTAGGTGTCACTTCCTTGATGCAACTGTTTCTGTCTATTACACATACACACACACACATACCCACACTTAGGCTCCAAAGATTATCAACTGCTTCCTGAATACAGATTTCTCTCTGTTTCCTCTTTGAGGGTAGAGGCAAACCTCAGCCATCTTTGTAACG